CCTCATTCCTCTCCCCCACACACCAACACCCCCAGACATTTCACTTTATTGTGTCCTCTGACACCGACGCAATAGAATATATTTTATGAGCGCTTCGTCGACATCACTCTATTTCAAATAAGTTGTGAAACTGGGCATGGACGGTATGTCTTTGATCCGTGTGCTCGACGTCGTAATGAAATATGAAGGTGAAACTCCTTCAGAACACACCGTGCGTATTTGAGTCCGATGTTTTAAGGTTAGAATGCGAAGTAAGCTCTTTTTAAGGTGCAGACTCATGACAGTTCTCACGCGGTTGGTGACGAGTTTCATTACCTTTTTCTGGTGTGAACCTCCTCTCCAGTGGCAGTCTATGTACATACCTAAAGACCTCTCCGAATAGCCTAATATATTTAAATTGAAACAAAAATGTTTATCGAGCATAAGAGCTAAATATATAAAAATCTTGTCCAAATTCATCAATACCATCTGTGTATGAGATACGTGTTATTTTAATTTTGCAATATTTCATTAAACTCCATATGCATATATATTAAGTATTTGCACAATAACCGTCATCTTGGTTATTATTATTATTATTATTATTATTATTATTATTATTATTATTATTATTATAATATATGAATTTATATTCTACGTTTTTCTGATGTACCACCGTTGGCGGGGCTTTCTGAGAATAAATTGAAACTGGACAACGCAGACTCGTGACAGTCTGAGGTTGACCATGATTACCATTATCATGATGTTAGTACCTCCTTGACAACGCAGGCTCGTGACAAAACAGTCTGAGGTTGACCATGATTACCATTATCATGATGTTAGTATCACCTTGACAACGCAGGCTCGTGACAAAACAGTCTGAGGTTGACCATGATTACCATTATCATGATGTTAGTACCTCCTTAACAACGCAGATTCCGTGACAACACAGTCTGAGGTTGACCATGATTACCATTATCATGATGTTAGTACCTCCTTGACAACGCAGGCTCGTGACAAAACAGTCTGAGGTTGACCATGATTACCATTATCATGATGTTAGTACCTCCTTAACAACGCAGATTCCGTGACAACACAGTCTGAGGTTGACCATGATTACCATTATCATGATGTTAGTACCTCCTTGACAACGCAGGCTCGTGACAAAACAGTCTGAGGTTGACCATGATTACCATTATCATGATGTTAGTATCACCTTGACAACGCAGGCTCGAGACAAAACAGTCTGAGGTTGACCATGATTACCATTATCATGATGTAAGTACCTCCTTGACAACGCAGACACGTGACAAAACAGCCTGAGGTTGACCATGATTACACGACGTGGGTCCATCGGTTGCTTCAAAAGTTCCCATTTATAGTCATGATGTAAGCAATGTTATAAACTGTATACCTGTTCTTTGATTATGTTAATCATATGGGTGAAGTACTGACGACGTGACTACAAAACTCCTCACTCTTTGATTATGACGACTTACAGATAAAATTACGGGCTACGAGAAATAGGTGATGACATGCGAATGGCTACTTGTAATGACTGAAGAGTCTGATTTTTCTCTTGCATTGACAAATAATATTTACAGTTGACACAACTGACACAATTTGTAACAGACAACCGCTTTGCAGTGTTATATTTTCCGATAAACAACGACCGCGAGTCGTTAATTACTCATATGAGATATCAACATTGTGTTAGTCTCTTTACACCCGTGACGATCTTGGGTAGACTAGGATTTTAGCAACCCATGCTTGCCGAAAAGGCGACTATGCTTGTGGTAAAACCCGACTTTGTGTTCGTCAGGCTCGCTGACTTGGTTGATGCATGTCATCGATCCCAATTGCGTGGATCGATGTTCATCATGTCAATCACTGGATTGTCTGGTCCAGACTCGATTATTTACAGATCGCCGTCATATACCAGGAATTCTGCTGAGTGTGGCGTACAACAACCAACCAACTATAGTCTCACTGAAGATGTTAGTACCTTTGTACCTTTGATACGCCTTACATACCCGGAGAGCAATTCGGGGTGGTTCTTAGCCTCCCTGGTGTTCGGAATTAAGGAGACAAAACAGGGGCTGGTTAGTCAGTATACTGTCTCTGAGTGGGATGTCCATGTTAACTTAGACATGGGATCTCAGCTGGTTAACAATATAAAACCGACCGGAGTTAGTCCGGACTGGTACAAGCAGCACAACCCCCTCCTCCCCCTCTCTCTCTCTCTCTCTCTCTCTCTCTCTCACACACACACACACACACACACACACACACACACACACACACACACACACACACACACACACACACACACGGGCATGCACATCGCTATATACGTGCAAAAATCTTGAACGCGGCGGTAATCCCAATTTCACCTCACCTTTGATAATAGGGTTGTCTATTTTAAACTGATGACCACTTGATACTGCTCGTATACTTCGCAGCAGGCGATTCGTACACATATATAACAAGGTAGACTACTCTTAACGATCAAATTCATACTCCTTGGCGGTCTGATATAGAGGGCGGGTGTTATGAAGTTGAAAGGCAACGTACGTGACACCATTGTGAGTAACAGAATGGACCTTAACGCTGCTTTTAAACAGCGGGGACCCGAAGTAACGCAAGATAGCTTTCTCTTTCTTGTAACCCGTGAGTAAGGGTGGTGTTCTCACACACAAAAGATGATACAGAAGGCGAATCTGGGATTCACAAAGTGAGAATATAATAAACGTATTTGACATCTAATCATGAATCTCTGCATGGTCCAATTTTGACACCGACACCCAGTGGTTGTTTTTCTTTTACTTCATTTCTTGACAACAAGAAACATCTTAAGCGCACCTTGCAAATTAACATATGAATTCAAAATATGTTGGAAAGTCACATTGGCACTGAATCCATGCTGGGAATCGACGCCAGTTCTTCGAATGGACGAGCGAATGCTTGAACCGCTCATTTCATTTCATTTCAGTTTTTGACATTTTCGTTTTGTGTTTTTGACATTTTCATTTTAGTTTTTGACATTTTCGTTTCGTTTTTCAGCGATTCAATATCTTCTTTACACATGATTTATCACATATTTGTAAGACAAATCGTGTTAATTTGCAAAAGGTTACGATAAATGTAAGTGAAATATTAAAATATTGAAAAACAGACTCCGTGTCCCTTATGGGCCACCGTAAGAACTAGTTATTCACCCCACATGGGAATTATCTAAACATAAAACAAGTGTTTCCCCTGTATATTTGTACATTGATCCAGATGGAGTAGAACTTGACCGATCCTCAAGGAAGTTTCTATCTACCTCCCGTTCATTCATTTCAGCGTTACCTCAACTACAATCAGCAGTCAGCACGATCAATTAAATATCTCCCGCCAGACAGTCGATTATCTGCCGAAGCACATTCCACAGGGCGAAAACGACAAAATAATATGAATGGATCACTGAAAATCAGTGATGACACCACGCATTTTTGCACGACAAGGCGCTCAGGCGGGTAGTTGAAAGAAAGCGATATATTACAAAAGGTATGATGATTATCTTTTATGCAGAATATGCACGTTTACACAACAATGAAAACACTTTACAACATAATTGAAATACCGTGAACACGCTTATAACGAACTGACGTATATGAGGAACATATTTTTTTGGTCCCGGCCATTTGCTGTATACATGCTGTACATATCCCTATAACGAACTACGGTTATAACGAACTAAAATTAGTGCCCCTTAGAGTTCGTTATAAGCGTAGTTTACTGTATATGAATATTAACTAATCTGATACACAATCGATGACATGCATACCAGTAAACAGTTTCCAAGCTGTTTCAAAAACCCCTCATGACCGAAACGAATAATAAAGAGGGAATCATTGCAAATTCAAACATTTTAAATATTTGAACAAATAATTGTTTATAACCAATAGAAATTTCCTTTATGCTCGGAAGGCTATAGCAGATTTCTACAGATGTCTCATTGCGTGAATGCTCTGGTGAACTTAGTGTTAAACATTCCTACATTTGAAGGTCAGTTGGAGGTCGTGATGTGTAACGAGATGCAAAAATGGTAATGACAAGGGAACCTGAAGTGGTAGCCACATGAGCACTGTTAAGATTTCTACCTTGTGTGGATGTACCCCGGGGCTCCGCGATTAATCGTCTTTATTGTTGGGCGTGCTTGATTTGGTGGGTGTCAAAATGTGTTTGGAAGGGAAATAAGATGACCTGGGCAGAAGTAAAAGGTCACCCTTTCGAGTGTATTACGTCATGGCCAAGGACGAAGGTCAAAGTGAGAATAGGAGTAGCCACTCTTTCTAAACTCACGTCGTCGACGCTAGACGTTTAGCGGGTTTTGTTTGCATGATAAAGCCAAACCTCATGTTTCGCCTTTCCGTCATATTAAAGTGAGTGTGTGCTTTGGCATCAACATGATTATCAGCTGCCTTAATAGGCAAGAAGGTTGGTTAAGATGACAACTGCCAATAGCGGCGTTTGAAATGCCATTTTGCCGGATCCATTCACTGAAATGAAAGAGCAATTAGTTAACCTCATATTTACCATGTACAGTTGCAATGATATGTAGGCATAGCGGCACTCTTTGAATGCTCGAAATATACATATTGTCATCGTCAGAGAATAACCAGTCTCGTTTGGCATAAACTGGCGCAACCAGACAATGATGTGACATATTAATTTAAAAATTAAAGTATACTGTCTGAAAGTGCAGAAATTCTGCTGCTTATAAGTAATGAATAACCTTTAAAAACTATGTTTGTTTTGCAACACAATAAGGGCTGTGTTGGGGTGTGGGTGTGGGTGTGGTTGTGGGTGTGGGTGTTGGGTGTGGGTGTGGGTATGGGTGTGGGTGTGGGATGTGGGTGTGGGTGTGGGTGTGGGTGTGGGGTGTGGGGTGTGGGTGTGGGTGTGGGTGTGGGGTGTGGGTGTGGGTGTGGGTGTGGGTGTGTAAACATACCTCACCTCAACATGATTAAACCTACCTGTGCAGGCTTGGAGGCTACACCGTGAAACCTCTGTCTGATTGCTTGGTCCAGGACAATCAGTCCCGGATGGGTTTTTGCAGGTTCTCGTTCTGGATTTCATTCCCGTGACACCAGAACCGCACGTAGCTGAGCATGTCTCTGTCCATTCCTCCCAAAATCTCCAACTGCCCTCTGATTAATAAAAATTAACAACAATAATAATAACAATAATCCTTCGCTTTGATGAAGTCGGTTGGCCTTTCTGTTTGCTGCTCAGGACCAGTCACGTCCCACTCGAAACCGTTAATGTGTGATTGTGCATCAAATTTAAATAAGAAATGTAGATTTTGCAATGAATTTAATGAGACGGCCCAAAACATTGTCAGTGGATGCCCAGCTTTGGCACAAACACGGTATCTTAAGCGACATGATGGAGTGGCTCGATCTTTTCATTTCCGTTTTCGTCATGCTTGTGGTTTTGACACAGAGGTCCATCCATGGGACGACCCCGAATATGTAGAGGGTGTCATTGAAAATGAAAGGGACAAAATTTGGAATAGACCGTATACAGCCTCAGACCTATCCAGGCCAACACATCTGATCTTGTCCTTTTTCATACATCCAATGAAACTATTTACATAATTGAATGTTCTGTGGGATGTTGGGTGAGGGGTGTGGGATGTGGTTGTGGGTGTGGGTGTAGGTGTGGGTGTGGGTGTGGGTGTGGGTGTGGGTGTGGGTGTGTAAACATACCTCACCTCAACATGATTAAACCTACCTGTGCAGGCTTGGAGGCTACACCGTGACACCTCTGTCTGATTGCTTGGGCCAGGACAATCAGTCCCGGATGGGTCATTGCAGGTTCTCGTTCTGGATTTCATTCCCGTGACACCAGAACCGCACGTAGCTGAGCATGTCTCTGTCCATTCCTCCCAAAATCTCCAATTGCCCTCTGAATGATAACAATAACAACAATAATAATAACAATAATCCTTCGCTTTGATGAAGTCTGTTGGCTTTTCTGTTTGCTGCTCAGGACCACTCACTTCCCACTCGAAACCGTTAATGTGTGATTGTGCATCAATTTTAAATAAGAAATGCAGATTTTGCAATGAATGTAATGAGACGGCCCAAAACATTGTCAGTGGATGCCCAGCTTTGGCACAAACACGGTATCTTAAGCGACATGATGGAGTGGCTCGATCTTTTCATTTCCGTTTTCGTCATGCTTGTGGTTTTGACACAGAGGTCCATCCATGGGACGACCCCGAATATGTAGAGGGTGTCATTGAAAATGAAAGGGACAAAATTTGGAATAGACCCGAATACAGCCTCGGACCTGTCCAGGCCAACAAATCTGATCTTGTCCTTTTTCATACATCATGTCAACCATTTACATCATTGAATGTTCTGTCCCTTTTGACACTAATGTGATTGACAAGATTAAGGAAAAACATGGCAAATATGCGGACCTCGCTTTCGAAATGTCACGCTTGCATCCCAAGTACGAAGTTGTCCGATTTCCCATTGTTCTCGGTGCCTTAGGTTTGCTACTAGGAATGCAGCCCTTATGACAATCTGAGTAATGCAGAAGGCTTTAGCGTTGGGGAGTCTTCACATGTTCCGAAAAGTTCTGGGTGGGTTCCACATGGCAGCGCTTCCTGGGTGAAGTCCCATTCGCTTTCTAGGCTGCGTGTAGAGGGGGCAAGGGCACTGAGCAGATGATGAGCCTAACCAGCCTGACTGTGCCAGGATCAACCAAACCCTCTTTGCTGCATTTACTTATTTGTATCTGCATAGCAATAATAATGAGGATACTGATATAGTGCTAAACCTCATATCATTATTATGCAGGGCAATGGATCAGGACCCATGAGGATCCGGGTTAGGATAGGTCTTCAGCAACCCATGCTTGCCGTAAAAGGCGACTATGCCTGTCGTAAAAGACGACTAATGAGATCGTGTGTTGAGGCTCGCTGACTTGGTTGATGTATGCCATCGTATCTCATTTGCTGGGACCGACGCTCATGCTGTCAATCACTAAAGATCTATTGTAAAAATATTTCAGAAGAAATGTTCCGGAGATGTAAAGATATGATTTTTGTGTATGCTTTAGTGTATATGCACATGGTGTGTAACAAGTATGTGAACGAATTCTGGACTATGTGGCCTTTATTCACGAATAAACCCCTCCTTCTTTTAAAGCACAATCAAGCAAAGTACAGTTACATAAGCTGACGTGAAAAAGAAAGTAAACTCTTGAAAATTAGATGCACCCCCCAAAAAACAACCGTTATGAAAACGTTTACTGGGCTGAAAACAGTCACCGAAAGACTGCAAACTGAAGACCGAAAACACAGCTGATACCCGTAGCAGATACATCACCATGGAATAACCATGTCGTGTTGGCTTCTTGTTTTGCTTTCATCAAACATTGGGGGGTTATGTTTCTAGATTTGGCCGGACCATACCCGTGCTCGGTTTCACCGAAGTGGTAAACGTCTGAGACCTGCATCACTTCGGGCTTTCCTCCCACATTAAGCTGACACGCCGTGATATAACTGGAATACTGTTAAAAGTGGCGTTCAACCCAACTCACTCACTCACTCACTCACTCAAACATGGGTGTATACTTTCTTTTGCCTGTCAGTTTACAACAATGAAGCTCACCAGGGCATGCTGGCACGACACACTGTGACGTCCTTGTTTGAATGCTTTCGCCTGAACACGATGTTCCAACGGTGCAACTCCTCTCTCGTGTCTGTATACCTCTGACGTTCGAGCCGCACGTACTTAGACAAGACTCAATCCAATTTCCCCAAACACCCCAGCTGTTATTAGCTGAAATATTGTTAAAGACCACAAAGAACATGAAACAAAAAAAATATTCAAATAGAACGGTTTAAATATGATATTGGAAAACATAACTTTCTTCGAAATATGAAGTTACCAGTCCTTATGTATCTTATGTACGCTGTGCATCCCCATCATTTGGATGTTTTCACTTGAGGATTTGAAAAACAAATAACGCCAGAGCATATAACCAGGATTGATTATCCATCGAAACAGATTCCATCGGGCGTAAAGGCAAAATAGTTGTGATAAATCATGAATGGATCACTAAAAACCTGTGATGACATCGGGTGCCCTATCGACAGCCTACCACTCACACAATTTGCATAAAAAGTATGTTTGTTGACACGTGTTTCAGTATGGACGGCCACACATCTATTCATGTTGAAGATAAACAGGTGAGGTGAGGTGAAATTGGGTTTAGCGCCAGACAGGGTAATAACAAGTACTATCTTTTAACGTCTTTTGGTACGACGCGGCCGGGGATCGAACTCCGGACCTTCCGCTCTCCGGGTTGACGCTCTACCACTAGACCACGGAGGCGGTCGAAGATAAACAGAATTTTTTTGAGATGTTTTAGTAGTAACAAGTTCAGTTGTTTAGCATTGGTTAACTGGGAGGCACATTGCTAGTCCAACTGGTTATCATGTACACATTTGACGTTCCAGTGAAACAATTGCAAATTTTCGTGTATACAAATATACGAAAACAAAGTGTGTCGATAGCCTATAGAATTACATTAATGATAATATGCTCTTTGAGAAATAGTTTAAGGTAAATGACTGTCCTTATAGTAACATTTTTGTAAAGCAGTCATTATGAAAATACAACATGAAACATGTTTTGTTCAGGTAAACAATTGACTTGCCTTTACATGTGTTTGTGCCGGGTGCCACTGTTGGGGCAGAATAATGTTTTCGCGAACACCTGGTATCATCACTATTTGATAGTGATTCATAAACACGTGCTTGTGATGTTGTCGGAATCGTACGATGGACAATTCATCAGAGATTTCTTGTGAATATGGAAAAAGTGTTTGTCGTATTTATTGTTGAGAGATGAGAGTTACTATACCTTATAGCTTCAACATACTGAAAGGGGAAATACAATATTCAACGAAAGACGTAGTGAAATAAAGTTGAAACATAGGAAGATTGAGGTGCTAAAACAGCTGTCTGCAAAATCGAAAAATGATCACACACCTGAATAGAAGATTTCACTTGACAGGATATCACATGCGATGTTGTGACACTCGATATACAATCGTGTCTCAGTATGCATTATCATGTTGAATAAAACACCTAAGGACCTAATAACATGCCTCCCATGTTGACGCCCCCGAAAACACTGGCGTTAAATTCAAAACATTTACTGTCTCAAAAAATCGAAACTTAAAACGTTATATTTTAGTGGTTGCCAAATCATCTAAAGTGTTGCTGTAGTTTGTTACCGAATTACATATAGTTACATTTTCATCAGTACATGTTTCATATACAATACCTGTCGCTTGAGATGAGGCATTTGACACAACTGTTAGTATAATCCATAATGTTGCCAAGGCCTGTGGTATCCACATTGTCCTTTATCGGTGTAAGTCTACAACATGAACATAGTTTTGTAACGATAAAATGAAATATCAAGATGTTTAAGATAGTTACACGATAAATCGCAAAGAAGCATCAAGTATGTTGTTTGTTTCACGATAAAACATTGTTCTATCATTACGTCATTTCTGGAGACTCGAACTTGTAATTGCAAATTGATCGTAAATTGGACGACCTTATATTTTAAAGGGCAGTGTCGAGTAAGTTGTTCCCCATAGATGTAGCTGGGCAACGCAGATAAACACTATGGCTGAACGAACGCATCCATTAATGTAAGAGATGTGATAATCGGTATTGGGAGAAAAGTTACAAATACACTGTTAAAAAAAGGAAACCTACACCGAAACGTCGCTCTTAATTGTAAGAAAGAAGTTGTTCATCCATAAATACTTATCCTTCGACAACTCGTCGTCGTTGTTTATCGTACAATAAAACACAGCAGGAAGTAACCACTCGGGTCTGCGTCACTCATGATATATTCTCCCTGCAGTGTTGTATTGTACGATAAATAACGACTACGTATACTGATCAGTCCTTTCTTAAACATTAGCCTGTCAAAATACAAAATCATTAGACAAATACAAATATATATGAGGAAGAGAATCTATGGATGTCAACTTCTTTATTATGACGGAACACAACGTTTAAGAGTATATGCTTACTCCTTCATCAGGTGAACGGTGAAGGAGTAAGCATATACTCCAAAACGTTATGTTTCGTTATAGTAAAGAAGTTGACGTCCATCAATTCTCTTCCTTATGTGTATCACTTCTAAATGCCATTCAAAGACTACAAATATATAGGCCAATGTAGGTACATGTTCATTCATATTCAAGAGTCTTGTATATCATACGACACCAGGAATCAGTTGTCAGCAATATTTACCTGGGACACCTTGTTGGATAGCTTCTTCAAATGAGTCTACGGATTCGGGTGAAACAACCGCCGTTACAACATGATCCTATATGGCTTTCGTTGGTCACACAATTCAGGTTTTGAATGTGTTTGATCCGAGTTTCCTTATGCGTGGGTGGTTTTGATGAACACCTTCCTAAAATAAACTTGGATCGTGACTTGCAAACCAGTTTACGCAATATCTAACAAAAGGTTTCAACGAAGGTAACATAAATGCATTGTGTGTAATATCTGTTCATGGGCTTTACAAACATTTATGAGTAATAAACATTTATAAACATAGCATGTCACATGTACCAGGAAGAAATGTAGTAGAACTATCTACTACACTGCTTCCTGGAACATGTGACATGCTATGTTTATAAATTTAACTAACACCTCATTAAATATGATTTGACATCTTTAACATGGACATATCATGTTATTTCACGTCACCGACATTTTTGTAAATGTATATAGTAACCAAAAAGACATTCTGACAAAGCAAGTCTGACATTCGTTTCTTGTTTTGCAACAAAGGATAAAGCAGTGGTGACAAATCACATATTGAGAGAGAAGTTTCAGTTTAAGAGTGAGTGTGTGAGTTGGGTTTAACGCCGCTTTTAACAGTATTCCAGTCATATCACGGCGTTCAGTTTAAGAACTGAAGGATGTTGTTCCACTGGCATTGCAGTTTACCGTACTTGTACATGTACTTCTGACACTTTGGTATAGTATCACGTGGCAGTTGTTTTGTTATTGGCAGGGGCGGTCGGGTAGCCTAGTGGTTAAGGCGTTCGCTCGTCACGTCGATTCCCGACATGGGTACAATGTGTGAAGCCCATTTCTGGTGTCCTCCGCCATGATATTGCTTGAATATTGCTAAAATCGGCGTAAAACCATACTCACTCACTCACTCACTGTTATAGGCAGCAGTGTTGAATGTCAGTGGCATTAATTTGACTTAGGTGCTGGGACAATATTCGGGCCTTGGCGGTGACATCCCCAAACTCCATCAAAGAGCCTGATATATGTGTACCCTCACGGCTGTGGGGTACATGTGTACCTGCATAACGAGGGCGATTCTGGGCCTTTCTTCTGCGAGCTGAATTTGTCTTGATTTTCAGTGGTCCATTCATATTACTTTCACCGCTGTTTTGCCCTTTACGCTAAACGGAATCTGTTTCGGAGGACAATCTAGACTGGTGTTTTATTCTCTTGCATTGGCACTTTAGTTTCATCAACTGCTTTCTGCCTATTTCTAACGACCGCCTCCGTGGTCTTGTGGTAGAGCGTCCGCCCGGAGAGCGGAAGGTCCGGGGTTCGATCCCGGGCCGCGTCATACAAAAAGACGTTAAAAGATTGTACTTGTTGTTACCCTGTCTGGCGCTCGGCATTAAGGGGCTAAAACAAGGACTGGTCGGCTCGGAGTCAGTATACTGTGTCTGAGTGAGGTATTCATGTTAAACTGCGGCATGGTATCTCAGTGAGCTAGCACTATAAATCGGCATCAGTCCGGACTAGTACAAGCAGCCACACACACACATACACGTGCATGCACGTCGCTATATAAGTGCAATAATCTTGGACGCGACGTTAAACCCAATTTCACCTCACATCTGCCTATTTCTAACACTGTTTCCTGGATTCGAGAACGAAGCACGTGCCCCATTCAAGACTTTCAACTGTGACAAATGCTGGCAAATGAATCAACACGTGACCATGTTCAAATATGACCCTTCTTGCAGTATTTCCACTGACAGTTGATGTCATATATTGTTCAGTTGAAGTGTTGTTCTTCAATTTAACAATATAAGTGCATTCGTACTTATTTCTATATATTATCAGAAATAGAAGTGAAATCAGTTCACGTTAGTATTATAAGATATCTAAACATATATCAGTTCAAGTTTTTTAAAGGTTCATAGGTCACTAATATCTACAGCAATTCTAACTGCTGACATTATTAGAGTTGCTAAAGAATGAGAGAAATATTCAGACACACAAGAACAGGGAATGTTTTTAATAAATATTTAACGTAGGTGAGAATCCAATTTAATAAAAGTAATTATTAAGTCCTCTTGCTCCGTGTATCAAACAAATCTGTAAAGCAACGATATAAGAACATGACAACAGAAAAACACAGATATGTAAATAAAAACGACAAAACCTGGGACGCAACTCTGCACAGCGAATCGCGGCGCCTTAGACGACTGGGCCACCCGTGCCCCCGAAACGAATAATAAAGAGAGAATCATTACAAATTCAAACATTTTCAATATTTGAACAGGCTGTTTATAACCGATAGAAATTCCCTTTATGCTCGGAAGGCTATAGCAGATTTCTACAGATGTCTCATTGCGTGAATACTCTGGTGAACTTAGTGTTAAACATTCCTACATTTGAAGGTCAGTTGGAGGTCGTGATGTGTAACGAGATGCAAAAATGGTAATGACAAGGGAACCTGAAGTGGTAGCCACATGAGCATTGTAAAGATTTCTACCTTGTGTGGATGTACCCCGGGGCTCCGCGATTAATCGACTTTATTGTTGGGCGTGCTTGATTTGGGCGTGTCAAAATGTATTTGGAAGGGAAATTAGGATGACCTGGGCAGAAGTAAAAGGTCACCCTTTCCAGTGTATTACGTCATGGTCAAGGACGAAGGTCAAAGTGAGAATAGGAGTAGCCACTCATTCTAAACTCACGTCGTCGACGCTAGACGTTTAGCGGGTTTTGTTTGCATGGTAAAGCAAAAACTCATGTTTCGCCTTTCCGTCATATTAAAGTGAGTGAGTGAGTATGGTTTTAGGCCGCTTGTAGCAATATTCCAGCAATATCACGGCGGGGGACACTAGAAATGGGCTTAACACATTGTACCCATGTAGGGAATCGAACCCGGATCTTCGGCGTGACGAGCGAACGCTTTAACCACTAGGCTACCCGACCGCCCCGCGTCATATTAAAAAGCTGAAGTAGCCTCCTTGAGTCGTCTTGAGTAATCTGACATGTCATGGCACTTGATCATAGAAGCCTTCCTGCCTCTCCTGTCTTTGAGGTTTGACGCCATGTCAGGTTTAGGTAATTGTACTTGATGCGTATTCTAACGTGATAGGGGCGGTCGGGTAGCCTAGTGGTTAAAGCGTTCGCTCGTCACGCCGAAGACCCGGGTTCGATTCCCGACATGGGTACAAAGTGTGAAGCCCATTTCTTGTGTCCCCCGCCGTGATATTGCTGTAATATTGCTAAAAGCGGCGTTAAACCATACTCACTCTCTCACTCACTCACTCTAACGTGATACTTATTCTTACTTGTAGAATACTATATTCAGCAGCCCGTGATTGTCGTAAAAGGCGACTATGCGTGTCGCAACAGGCGACTAACGGGATCGGATGGTCAGGCTCGCTGACTTGGTTGATGCATGTCATCGTATCTCAATTGCGTTGGATCGATGCTGATGATGTCAATCACTGGATTGTCTGGTCCAGACTCGATTATTTAGAGACCGCTGTCATATAGCTGGAATAAACAAACAATCTAACTTGTGCTCACATTTTGTGTTCGACTTCCAGAGTAACTTTGAGCTTCTTTGTAACTCTAATGGTTATAAATTGAGTTCGTGACAACCACAAATCCAGTTCGACACATCCGGATTAAAATAGTGATAAATATTTATCAACCGGGTATTAGACCTTCAGAGTTCGAAACAACAGGGTTTGACTGTATTTTACAAATATATTAAATAATATTTATGATTGGGATCCTGATGTGGTTTTAGGCAACAAAATACAACAACAAAATATTGAAAAGTTGCAAAATGCAAAAACCAGAAGTTGTTATCCATAACGCTGTATGTTTTCTCATTTACTCACCAACTTCTTGAATACCAATCAAACAGTTAGAATGCCAATCAAACACAAACAATAACACAATAACAGCTATTTTGCGTGAATGTTATTAAGCTATAAATGGAAACAGGATTTTCATAATTACGTGTTTCTAAAACAATCGATGTGTACGTACATGTCTAGCATATTGAACACATTGTTTGTCATATTGTGTGTCCTTCGGTTTCACCTATTGTTTTGGAAATATCGTTGTCCTGGAAAAAATGTGTCACGCATCAGTGACAAAGATGATGTCCGATGCAATTCCCTAATTTGACTTTTCAGGTGAACAATTGACTTGCCTTTGTATGTGTTTGTGACGGGTGCCACCTGTAGGGCAGGATACATTCTCCTCATCGCGAACACTTGGATCATTACAATTTGAGAGTGATTCATAATAAACACATGCTCATGATATAGTCGGAACTGTACTATATACTTTATCGATTTCTATTGGATATGGAAAGGACTTTGTCGCTATATTTATGAAAAAACATTTTTTCACAGAAAAGAGTATGATGACATGCTATTTAGATATGACGCATGGTGGCACGTTGTGGTGTGCACAGCACACAGGTCACGGCCGTGGACAAAGGCTGGATAGGTGACCCGGGTGTGCAAGTTTGACCTTGAGAGTTTCTATGTGTCCTTTGGCATCAACATGATTATCACCTGTCTTAATAGACAAGGAGGTTGGTTAAGATGACAACTGCCAATAGCGGCGTTTGAAATGCCATTTTGCCGGATCCATTCACTGAAATGAAAGAGCAATTAGTTAACCTCATATTTACCATGTACAGTTGCAATGATATGTAGGCATGGTGGCGCTCTTTGAATCCTCGATAAATATATTTTGTCATCGTCAGAGAATAACCAGTCTCGTTTGGCAAAACAGGCGCAACACGGCAGTACTCGTGCCGCGAGACGCCGGCCTGTCAACCAGACAGTGAAGTGACATATTAATTTAGAATTAAAGTATACTGTCTGAAAGTGCAGAAATTCTGCTGCTTATAGGTAATGAATTACCTTTAAAATCTATGTTTGTTTTGCATCACAATAGGGGTGGTGTGGGGTGTGGGATGTTTGGTGAGGGGTGTGGGTGTGGGTGTGGGTGTGGGTGTGGGTGTTGGTGTGGGTGTGGGTGTGGGTGTGGGTGTGGATGTGGGTGTGTAAATGATTAAACCTACCTGTGCAGTCTTGGAGGCTACACCGTGACACCTCTGTCTGATTGCTTGGTCCAGGACAATCAGTCCCGGATGGGTCATAGCAGGTTCTCGTTCTGGATTTCATTTCCGTGACACCAGAACCGCACGTAGCTGAGCATGTCTCTGTCCATTCCTCCCAAAATCTCCAATTGCCCTCTGAATGATAACAATAACAACAATAATAATTACAATAATCCTTCGCTTTGATGAAGTCTGTTGGCTTTTCTGTTTGCTGCTCAGGACCACTCGAAACCGTTAATGTGTGATTGTGCATCAAATTTAAATAGGAAATGTAGATTTTGCAATGAATATAATGAGACGGCCCAAAACATTGTCAGTGGATGCCCAGCTTTGGCACAAACACGGTATCTTAAGCGACATGATCGAGTCGCTAGATCTTTTCATTTCCGTTTTCGTCATGCTTGTGGTTTTGACACAGAGGTCCATCCATGGGACGACCCCGAATATGTAGAGGGTGTCATTGAAAATGAAAGGGACAAAACTCTTTGGAATAGACCGGTATACAGCCTCGGACCTGTTCAGGCCAACAAACCTGATCTTGTCCTTTTTCATATATCCAATCAAACCATTTACATCATTGAATGTTCTGTCCCTTTTGACACTAATGTGATTGACAAGATTAAGGAAAAACATGGCGGACCTCGCTTTGGAAATGTCACGCTTGCATCCCAAGTACGAAGTTGTCCGATTTCCCATTGTTCTCGGTGCCTTAGGTTTGCTACTAGGAATGCAGCCCTTCTGACAATCTGTCTAATGCAGAAGGCTTTAGTGTTGGGGAGTCTTCACATTTTTCGAAAAGTCCAGGGTGGGTTCCACATGGCAGCACTTCCTGGGTGAAGTCCCATTCGCTGTCTGGGCTGCGTGTAGAGGGGGCAAGGGCCCTGAGCTGATGATGAGCCTAACCAGCCTGACTGTGCCAGGATCACCCAAACCCTCTTTGCTGCATTTACTTATTTGTCTCTGTATAGCAATAATAATAAGGATATTGATATAGCGCTAAACTTCATATCATTATTATGCAGGGCAATGGATCAGGACCCATGAGGATCCGGGTTAGGATAGGTCTTCAGCTACCCATGCTTGCCGTAAAAGGCAACTATGCCTGTTGTAAGAGGCGACTAATGGGATCGAGTGTTGGGGCTCGCTGACTTGGTTGATGTATGTCATCGTATCTCAATTGCTGTGACCGACGCTCATGATGTCAATCACCAAAGATCTATTGTAAAAATATTTCAGAAGAATTGTTCCGGTGAAATTACAGATGTAAAGATATGATTTTGGTGTATGTTTTAGTGTATATGCACATGGTGTATAACAGGTATGTGAACGAATTCTGGACTATGTGGCCTTTATCCTTGAATAAAACCCTCCTACTAAAGTATAATCACGCAAAGTACAGTTACATAAGCTGACGTTAAAAAGAAACTAAACTCTTAAAAATTGGATGCACCCCCAAAACACAATGTCGTGTTGGCTTCTTGCTTTGCTTTCATCGTCTAAGGCGCCGCGATTCACTGTGCCGAGTTGCGTCCCTTGGGCACGCCAGAAACCTATGATTGTGGGTTCGAATCCCGGTTCTCCCCAATTATGTTTCTAGGTTTGTCAGCACCATACCCGTGATCGTGGGTGTCACCGAAGTAGTAAACGTCTGAGACCTGGTACCAGTCTCCCCAAGGTGTTACCCCACCATTGACTGAAGAGTACGAAAAGCAATACAGTTCGAGTTTAAATCAAGGAAAATAAAACACATTTTCGTAAGGTGAATTATTCGTTTATAAGAATTTCATTTTAGAATCCTGCATACCAGTCAAACCACCAGAGATATAAAATCTGAGTTAGACAAATGATTTTGCTCATTACGAAAACATTTATACGCACTTCAGCACCTTTCGGAATGCGACAGTAAGGCAATTTTATAGTATGGATTTTGATGTGGGGGGTGGGGGGTGGGGTTAATCATAAAAGAGAGCTGAGACTTTTTCCAGTCGCATTTCAAATAACACATATGGACAGAATGTTGAAATCTTCTCACTATCTACTTAAATATAATTTAACAATACAGACATATGTGCTTTTATAACAATCCACGTATTTCTCCGTAAGAAAGAATTTGATTGATTTATGGCCCTATTTAGCTATTGGATCCCCCGCCCCACGGCCAAGTTATAAAAACAAATAGCAAATAACACCGTTCAATAGCGCTGAGTAGTACGTACTTCCTAAAAAGCAATAGTGTTTTCCTAAAAACAACGCTTATATCAATGTTTATTCTGTTTGTGGAGGAGATGTCATCAAAGTGGAAGTCATCACCAAAGCAATGGTAATACTACCGGATGTCCATTATGTAATTTCTAGTTTTTGGATGACATATTGTTCTCAGTAACCATAATGTGGAAATAGATAGTTGATTGGTTTTATATTCAAGTTGGTATTTCCGCTATTCAAAGTGTTCAGTGTGGCCGTCTTATCAACAGTCATTTCTGAGACATAAATGCAAAGTATAATTACCGTATTCGACATAATAAGCGCCCCGCTCTAATATAGTGCCACGTCGATATTTGCTAATAAACTGACGTCCAAAAGAAACTTTACCAACTGAAAATATAAATTTCAGACAAAGTATAATTTTTTTCGATGAAGTCTATCTAAAACACATAACCTAAATACAACAATAGCGTATGCAGAAAATGTAAATCGTCTGTTACATGTTTGCGAGATAACACGCGAAAAAGTGAAAAACACGGGCACCACGGACAACCGCAAATGCATGTGCGGGTAAGGGTTTAAAACGATTGCAACGGCAAGTCAGACATCCACAGTGATAAAAAAAACACAAAAGAAATGCCACGACTCACAGCCGAACAACGTGAACGAGCCTTGGGTATGCTACAGATGGAAGTCCATATTGCACGAACCTTCGGTTGCTCCCGTGGTTTCCGTTACCAACTTGATGCAACGTTACAGACAGACAGCGCCAAGAACAGGCAGACCCAGGATGACCACGCCCCATAATGACCGGTACTTGCGTACCTTGCACCTCCGAAATTGCTTCCTGACAGTGACGTCATCGGCGACAAATGCCTTAGGTCACAGGTTTAGTCGACAGGAGACTCAGGGCTCATGGAATCAGGGCTTTTAGACCATACAGAGGACAGCTATTGACAGCGCAACATTGACGTCTGCGATTGACTGTACGACGTTGGCAACGACGTGACTGGCAGAGGGTTGTCTTCACTGACGAAAGTCGATTCTGTATGTTTAGGGCTAATGGAAAACAACGTGTTTACCGCCGAAGGGGTGAACGAACGGCGGCGTGTTGCGTGCAGGAGGTCGTACCATATGGCGGAGGGAGTGTCATGGTGTGGGGAGGGATCTGTGGGCAGGAGAGGACACCGCTGGTCATCGTTGACGGAAACTTGACAGCTTAGCGTTACGTGGATAACATTCTTCGTCCAGTTGTCCTACCATTTTTCCAACAGCAGCCACGTGGTGTCATTTATCAGCATGACAAAGCAAGTGCCCATACAGCCAGAATTGTCACTAACTTCCTCGCAGCCAACAACGTCAACGCCCTGCCGTGGCCTGCACGCTCACCCGACAGGTCCCCCACAGAACACCTCTGGGACTAGATGGATCGTCGTGTTCGACAACGACCACACTCTCCAGCCAACCGGCAAGAACTGATCTTGGCCCTCCAAGAAGAATGGCGTCAAATCCCACGTTACCTCATCAGACGACTGACTTTTTCTGTGCGTCGAAGAGTTTTTGCGTGTAATGAGGCATTTGGTGGTCACACACGCTACTAATGACTTGTTATTGAACGTGAGCGATTGTTTATGTACTCTGCCTATTGTCCATGATTCTCAAAGTTCGAGTTTTGTACCACACCCAACTTTGGGGGGGCTCTGACGTCATTCTCGGTCGCGGTATAATTGTCATTTTCAGTGTTGATTATGTTGATATATTGATCTTCTTAATACACTTTACTTCATGCATGTATGTTTTGTTGTTTTTGAGCAAGAGTGATTTCAAACTCTGGTAAAGTTTCTTTTGGACGTCAGTGTATATTGGCTTGTGAACAATCCCAATAAGCACCCCTTCCGATTGATTAATGTACACAAGACTTATTTATTCGCCTATAATACGCACTCGTGCGTTATATGTACACTTAATTATGGGCAATTAAATTCTGGAAAAATATATCTGTCTTACATAAACATTTCAGGCTGTCAGCATAAACCACGAAATTTATCTTTCAACTAAACTTTTTTCACCAAAATAATATTCTAATTTTGAGAGCGCCCTAGGAGCTTATTACGTCGAATACGGTAATTAAGTCTACGCTACTTCTTTTCCATTTATAATTAACTCTAACGTTAATTTCAAGATTTACAGTACATACTATTCAAAAGAAGTTAAAGAACACCCGATTCTTTCATATGACCATGGTTAGTCATTAGAGGAAGCAATAGATCGAGAAAGCGAAAAAGCGAGAAAGCGATAAAGCAATAGAGCTAGAAAGCGATAAAGTGAGAAAGCGATAGAGTGAGAAAGAGATAAAGTGAGAAAGCGATAGAGCGAGAAAGCGAGAAAACGATAAAGTGAGAAAGCGATAGAGCGATAAAGTGAGAAAGCGATAGAGCGAGAAAGCGATATTTCCCATAATGCCGTACATTAAAACGTTTTTTGCTAATATTTAGTGATCCATTCCTATAATTCTCACCGCTATTTGCCTCTTATGATTAGATTTTGTAGTAGATAAATATGTTACAAAATACACACGTAATGTTTTCTCGTTTAGCTTGTATATTTTCTTGTAGTGTAATAAATAAGCAAGATTCACGGAATACAGATGGTCACTGTTCATATTTTCATTTTGTTCATAGTACATATACGACTTTCGTGAGCGTCATTAACCCGTAACCCCATTCCTTGGACAATAGAAATGAAATGCGTTGTAAATATTTTTCTTATATTTCTTATAATGACTTTCGATTAAACTGTCTTCAGGAATTAAATTTAATGATAAGTGCTTGTAAAATAAAGTTTAACTTTCCCGCCAGGAGAGACTAGATATCCAAGTATAGAAAAGGCTCAGGCAAGAATATACATATTTATGTAGCAATTCTCTACCTATTTAAACTGTATGGTTAACAATTGTGCGTTCTGATGTGAGTTATGTAGTTATCTACTACCTTTTTACACAGACAATGAGTCGGACACACAAACACATTAACTATGTGGCCACACTAATTATTATGTCTCTCCATATGTGTATTTTACACAAGTACACATATCAACTGTGGTAACGCCACAGCGATGGGGGCAGTGGGGTAGCCGAGTGGTTAAAGCGTTCGATCGTCAAGCCGAAGACCAAGTTTGATTCCCCACATGGGTACAATGTGTGAAGCCCATTTCTGGTGTTCCCCGTGATATTACTGGATTATTGTTAAAAGCGATGTGAAACCATTCTCACTCACTCACTCACTCACTCACTCACTCACAGTGGTGTCTATCAAATTACTATATGCAAGTACATATATTTGTAGATTTGCACGGCGTGATTGTCACATACAACTGAATAGGGCCATAAAAAAATCAATTACATTTTTCGCAAAAATCTGTGGATTGTTTTAAAACCACCTACGTCTCTACAGTTAAATTATGTTTTAAGTAAATAGTGAGAAAAGTTCAACATTACCTCCCAATTGCAGCAGAGATCACATGGGGCCCCTGTAGTGGTCTAGAGGGGATATTGCTAAACCGCGAGAAAGAGAGAAAGCGATAGAGCGAGAAAGCGATGGAACGAGAAAGCGATGTCCCCTCTCGGTCACCATAGTTATCCGCCTGTCCACTGGGAATCACACTTGTAACTGGGGAGAACATCGCAGACATTTTGATATGCAAAACAGAGGTCTTTGTCCGTCAAAAAACCTATAGCTTATTTCAAAGGACTTTACATCCTCACAAAAGAATCAAATTCAACCAGCAAACCTTTCAATGATAACCCTTAATTTCGTACGATCCTGACCTGTTCAACATAATCTTGACATCAGGCCCCACTGACTCGAATTTGTGAACCCATCGTCAGTTGCAACCAGTCCATAATAGAACAACGACTTACTTGGGCACGCTGGGAGACCACAGTTCACATTACGAATCTCATCATACGGCCCTGTGCAGTTTCTGCCGCCATTCAGTGGAGCTGGGTTGGTGCAGGTCCTGCTTCTGGTGGCTTGGTGGTTACATGTCACACCACAAGGAGGGTTGCTCCAAGAAGTCCACTCTGTAAATCCACCGTCAACTGCAAGGTAGAGTCCAACATATTATAAGAGCCTGTCGCAACATGATGGTCACTGGCGAAGTGATCGACTGTCAAATGTACTATGTATTAATACTAAACTGTGCATTAACACTGATAGCAACATCAGTGATACACTACCGTGGATTACTTTATACTACGGAGATAATTTATAACAGCATTGTGGTAAGTGATGAGAAAAAGGAGTATAAATCGTTCAAAGATACTGGGAGATTAAACGTTTTGTCATTCTGTAAACGATACGATTTTATGTAAATGATATCACTTTTAGGGACCCATATGTATTCGTTGTAACTGTACGGATAGAGTACCAAACACGAGTAGTGATGTAGCATCGTACCAGAGCATGATGGTACAGTGCATAATGAAAATCTGGTCTGAAGACTTTCGCCGAAACACTGCCTTCCACCTAGAGAAGGTTCATTGCATCCTCTTTCCCTCTGTTGTATTCCTCTCACATCCACGCCACACGTGGCGAGGCAAGTTTCAGTCCATCCCTGCCATGGTTGCCAACTACCATCAACTAAAACATAAATAGGAGTAGCATATATTTACATACATATGAAGAATATGTGTTGAAGACTTGACACACGGTGTTGTGTAAGTCAATGGTACATCATTTCCGTAAGATATATTCTAGGAATTATGGTAGCTAGAGTTGGTCTGTAATATTAAGATTCCTCCATTGCTGTAGAAATGGTGAAAAAAACGGACGGAAGAACATACATGTATTGTCATTCAACAATGACGTTGAGACGCAAACCCATTATTCTGCTGATGCTTTTACTATGAATATTCACTACATATAAGACCCGTGAAGATCCGGGTTGGAATAGGTCTTCAACAACCCCTGCTTGCCGTAAGAGACGACTAACGGGATCGGGTGGTCAGACTCGCTGACTTGGTTGATGCATGTCATCGTATCATAATTGCGTGGATCGATGCTCATGATGTCAATCACTGGATTGTCTGGTCCAGACTCGATTATTTATAGACCGCCGTCATACAGCTTGAATATTGCCGAGAGCGGCGTTAAACAAAAAAAAGCGACTACATATAATACCAATGTATGTGTGCAATTGCTAAATATCTTAGCCTGCTAAAGGGAGGACCATACAAAATACACATCAATTAGTGAGAGAATGCGCAGATCGTCCCCTCACACAACAAATCACTGGTTTATCCAACTGTGCCTATGACTTGCAACAGCATTCACTCACTCCACGTTGACACTGCATTTAAATAATTATTCATTACTTTATTTCTTTGTTGTTTGACGCCGCACACTGACAAATGCAAGCTATGTGACGGCGGTCTGTACAAAATCGAGTCTCGACCAGACAACCTCGTGGTTGACATCAAAAGCATAGATCTATACAATCGGGATACGATGACATGCATCAACCAAGTCAGCGAGTCTGACCGCCCGATTGACTACTGAAGGCCAATTCTAAAGCGAAGCTTCACGGGTCTGAATATTAATTAAAAATAATATGACTTGACATAGGTTTCTATTACAAATGTGTATATTTATGTGAAAAGAACAACTTATCATAGCAATACCAAAATTAAAGTTAGATATATCGGTCCTAGTCATTTTTATCATGGGCTCAAAAGTGTGTATTACAATTTTCACCAAACCCCTTCTTTATGCAATAAATCATCGCACAAACAATACATATTCAGACAGGATGATGTTATAAACTAATTTTTTAACAAATATGTAGACAATGCAACAGAAATGTAACTATGAAACTGTGTAGGCTTCATTTAAAATTCGAGGTTCACATGAATTGGTGTTGACTCCGTTTTGTATAGTCCATGTACAGCTGGTATCGGTGATGCAGGTCCCGTTTACCACATCGCCCAAAGCTCTCAAGTTAATGGCGTAAGTGCTGATGGCATGTTCAATTGTGTATGAGTGTGACAGAGTATAAATAAACGGCTACTTCGTTTGGGAATAAATACAAATATAGACTATTTGCATATCATCCAAGGTGTGCATTGGCGAAAGACACAGACAATAATCGCCTTACAATATTCGAGTGAGTGAATTAGTGAGTGAGTGAGTGAGGTGTAACTCCGCTTTGAACAGGATTACAGTTACACCATGATGTGAGAGGAAAGCCCAAAGTAAGGCATGTGAAAACCCTCACTTAGTCTTCGACGTTGTAACTGTGATCAGTTTTCTTAAGCAAGCGTCACTTGACACTCTTCCGTATGGTATTTATAAAGTTGTGAATATTTATTGAATGTTTTTTTTATTATCTTTATGACTCTAAGACTAAATACAAAGGGGAACTTACTTGCACAATCGATCAATCCACAGTTCACTCTGACTGTCTCGCTCAAGGGTCCAGCACAGTTTGCGCCACCACCTGATGGAGGCGGGTTGTCACACCGTCGGTTCCTGGTCTGAGTCTTTTCTGCGCTACTTCCACATGTGACAGGACAAGGACCAGTCCATTGACTCCATTCAGAAAATCCCCCATTCACTGCCGTTTCTGTATAAGCAATTACGAAATTACGTTAAGATCAATGTCATATTTCTCTCAAATGTCAAAACGTGTAATAATAACATATACGACGCAAATGAAGTTAAGGACTACCCAATTATTTCAGATTACTACACTTAATATGTCATGACATTAGTAATATACAAGGTGTAAAAATACATACCTATCACTGTCAAGTATCCCTTGGACTCTACGCCATTCACCACATAGACATACTCCCCGGAATCCGATGTTTGGATATTTTGAACAGTCATTCGTCTTAAAGTACCAGTGTTCTGTGTAATTGAATAACTTGGCACCACTAGTAAGCGGCACGCCGTTCCTAAACCAAGCTCCAGCTGTTGCACCAGGGGATACGTTCACAAGAAAGCTTTGAGAACCGCCCACACTCCTCGACAAATTATCCATTCGTCCTGAAACGAGATAGCAGTAGAATTTAGACAAGATTGAATACATAAATTCAGGCGTTATTGAAAATGATCGTCTAATATCAGCTTCAACACGGAGTGTTGATATGAGTATGTGCTGTTACACGTATGATTCCAAAACATTATTACGCTTCTTTTTACACAGACATTACCGAAAGAGTGTGAGTGTGTACATTTGTTTTATTATCTTCATTTATTGCAAAACACGACATCTTACCTAACACCGTAAGTGTAGCCTGTGTGGTTGCTCCATCAACTGAATAACTGTACTGTCCTGCTTGAGAGGTCTGCACATTTGGTATTGTCAGTGACTGTAGAGATCCGATTGTATTTTTCGTATACCTGTTATCACCTGTCAGGTCAACTCCTTCCCTCCTCCAAACGCCATTAGTGACACCTGGAGGATTGACAAATGTTGCCAATTGTGGGTTTGTGCCAGAAAGGACAGTTACATCTCTCATGTTATTTATAATAGCAGCTGAAACAAACATGACATGAACATATCAACTGAATGCGGACCTCAAACAACACATGGCCCAACATGTGTGGGAATGTAAAGCAGTATGAAAAATATAAATCGTGTGTCTGAATGACCTTTTACGTTGGCCATGATGGTTGGTTGGTTTGTTGTTGAACGCCGCACTCAGCAATATTCCAACTACATGTATATGACGGCGGTCTGTACAAAATCGAGTCTCGACCAGACAACCTCGTGATAGACATCAAAAGCATAGATCTATACAATCGGGATACGATGACATGCATCAACCAAGTCAGCGAGTCTGACCGCCCGATTGACTACTGAAGGCCAATTCTAAAGCGAATCTTCACGGATCTGAATATTAATTAAAAATAATATGACTTGACATAGGTTTCTATGACAAATGTGTATATTTATGTGAAAAGAACAACTTATCATAGCAATACCAAAATTAAAGTTAGATATATCGGTCCTAGTCATTTTTATCATGGGTTCAAAAGTGTGTATTACAATTTTCACCAAACCCCTTCTTTATGCAATAAATCATCGCACCAACAAAACATGTTCAGACAGGATGATGCTATAAGCTAATGTTTTAACAAATATGTAGACAATGCAACAGAAATGTAACTATGAAACTGTGTAGGCTTCATTTAAAATTCGAGGTTCACACACCAAGTAATGAATTGGTGTTGACTCCGTTTTGTATAGTCCATGTACAGCTGGTATCGGTAATGCAGGTCCCGTTTACCACATCGCCCAAAGCTTTCATGTTAATGGCGTAAGTGCTGATGGTATGTTCAATTGTGTATGAGTGTGACAGAGTATAAACAAAAGGCTACTTCGTTTGGGAATAAATACAAATATAGACCATTTGCATATCATCCAAGGTGTGCATTGGCGAAAGGCCGGTCAGGTTTGCACAGACAATAATCGCCTTACAATATTCGAGTGAGTGAATTAGTGAGTGAGTGAGTGAGTGAGTGAGGTGTAACCCCGCTTTGAACAGGATTACAGTTACACCATGATGTGAGAGGAAAGCCCAAAGTAAGGCATGTGAAAACCCTCACTTAGTCTTCGACGTTGTAACTGTGATCAATTTTCTTAAGCAAGCGTCACTTGACACTCTTCCATATGGTATTTATAAAGTTGTGAATATTTATTGAATGTTTTTTTTATTATCTTTATGACTCTAAGACTAAATACAAAGGGGAACTTACTTGCACAATCGATCAATCCACAGTTCACTCTGACTGTCTCGCTCAAGGGTCCAGCACAGTTTGCGCCACCACCTGATGGAGGCGGGTTGTCACACCGTCGGTTCCTGGTCTGAGTCTTTTCTGCGCTACTTCCACATGTGGCAGGACAAGGACCAGTCCATTGACTCCATTCAGAATATCCCCCATTCACTGCCGTTTCTGTATAAGCAATTACGAAATTACGTTAAGATCAATGTCATATTTCTCTCAAATGTCAAAACGTGTAATAATAACATATACGACGCAAAAGAAGTTAAGGACTACCCGATTATTTCAGATTACTACACTTAATATGTCATGACATTAGTAATATACAAGGTGTAAAAATACATACCTATCACTGTCAAGTATCCCTTGGACTCTACGCCATTCACCACATAGACATACTCCCCGGAATCCGATGTTTGGATATTTTAAACAGTCATGCGTCTTAAAGTACCAGTGTTCTGTGTAATTGAATACTTGGCACCACTAGTAAGCGGCACGCCGTTCCTAAACCAAGCTCCAGCTGTTGCACCAGGGGATACGTTCACAAGAAAGCTTTGAGAACCGCCCACACTCCTCGACAAATTATCCATTCGTCCTGAAACGAGATAGCAGTAGAATTTAGACAAGATTGAATACATAAATTCAGACGTTTTTGAAAATGATCGTCTTATATCAGCTTCAACACTGAGTGTTGATATGAGTATGTGCTGTTACACGTATGATTCCAAAACATTATTACGCTTCTTTTTACACAGACATTACCGAAAGAGTGTGAGTGTGTACATTTGTTTTATTATCTTCATTTATTGCAAAACACGACATCTTACCTAACACCGTAAGTGTAGCCTGTGTGGTTGCGCCATCAACTGAATAACGATACTGTCCCGCTTGAGAGGTCTGCACATTTGGTATTGTCAGTGACTGTAGAGATCCGATTGTATTTTTCGTATACCTGTTATCACCTGTCAGGTCAACTCCTTCCCTCCTCCAAACGCCATTAGTGACACCGGGAGGATCGACAAATGTTGCCAATTGTGGGCTTGTGCCAGAAAGGACAGTTACATCTCTCATGTTATTTGTAATTGCAGCTGAAACAAACATGACATGAACATGTCAACTGAATGCAGACCTCAAACAACACATGGCCAACATGTGTGGGAATGTAAAGCAGTATGAAAAGTATAAATCGTGTGTCTGAATGACCTTTGACGTTGGCCATGGTGGTTGGTTGGTTTGTTGTTTAACGCCGCACTCAGCAAATTCCAACTACATGTATATGACGGCGGTCTGTACAAAACGAGTCTCGACCAGACAACCTCGTGGTAGACATCATGAGCATAGATCTATACAATCGGGTTACGATGACATGCATCAACCAAGTCAGCGACCCTGACCGCCCGATTGACTAGTGAAGGCCAAATCTAAAGCGAATCTTCACGGATCTGAATATGACTTAACAGAGATTTCTATGACATATGTGTATATTTATGTGAAAAGAACAACTTATCATAGCAATACCAAAATTAAAGTTAGATGTATTGGTCCTAGTCATTTTTGTCATGGACTCAATAGTGTTTATTACAATTTTCACCAAACCCCCTCTTTATGCAATAAATCATCGCACCAACAAAACATGTTCAGACAGGATGATGTTATAAACTTACTTTTTTTAACAAATATGTAGACAATGCAACAGAAATGTAACTATGAAACTGTGTTTGCTTCATTGAAAATTCGAGGTGCACGCACCTAATAATGAATTGGTGTTGACCCCGTTTTGTATAGTCCATGTACAGCTGGTATCGGTGATGCAGGTCCCGTTTACAACATCGCCTAAAGCTCTCAAGTTAATGGCATAAGTGCTGATGGTATGTTCAATTGTGTATGAGTGTGACAGAGTATAAATAAACAACTACTTCGTTTGGGAATAAATACAAATATAGACTATTTGCATATCATCCAAGGTGTGCATGGACGAAAGGCCGGTCAGGTTTGCACAGACAATAATCGCCTTACAATATTCGAGTGAGTGAATGAGTGAGTGAGTGAATGAGGTTTAACTCTGCTTTGAACAGAGATTACAGTTACATCACGGCATGATGTGAGAGGAAAGCCCAAAGTAAGGCATGTGAAAACCCTCACTTAGTCTTCGACGTTGTAACTGTGATCAATTTTCTTAAGCAAGCGTCACTTGACTCTCTTCCATATGGTGTTTTATAAAGTTGTGAATATATATTGAATGTTTTTTTATTATCTTTATGACTCTAAGACTAAGAACTTACTTGCACAATCGATCAATCCACAGTTCACTCTGACTGTCTCGCTCAAGGGTCCAGCACAGTTTGCACCACCACCTGATGGAGGCGGGTTGTCACACCGTCGGTTCCTGGTCTGAGTCTTTTGTTCACTACCTCTACATGTGACAGGACAAGGACCAGTCCATTGACCCCATTCAGAAAATCCCCCATTCACTGCCGCTTCTGTACAAGCAATTACGAAATTACGTTAAGATCAATGTCATATTTCCCTCAAATGTCAAAACGTGTAATAATAAAATATACAACGCAAAGGAGGTTAAGGACTACCCGATTATTTCAGATTACTATACTTAATATATCATGACATTAGTAATATACAAGGTGTAAAAATACATACCAATCACTGTCAAGTATGCCTTGGACTCTACGCCATTCACCACATAGACATACTCCCCGGAATCCGATGTTTGGATATTTTGAACAGTCATGCGTCTTAAAGTACCAATGTTCTGTGTTATTGAATACTTGGCACCATTAGTAAGCGGCACGCCGTTCCTAAACCAAGCTCCAGCTGTTGCACCAGGAGATACGTTCACAAGAAAGCTTTGAGAATCGCCCACACTCCTCGTAAAATTATTCATTAGCCCTGAAATAGAAGTAGAATTTAGACAAGATTGAATACATAAATTCAGGCGTTGTTGATTTAAGTATGTGCTGTTACACCTATGATTCCAAAACATTATTACGCTTCTGTTTACACAGACATTACCGAAAGAGTGTGAGTGTGTACATTTTTTTAATTATCTTCATTTATTGCAAAACACGAAATCTTACCCAACACCGTAAGTGTAGCCTGTGTGGTTGCTCCATCAACTGAATAACTGTACAGTCCCGCTTGAGAGGTCTGCACATTTGGTATTGGCAGTGACTGTAGAGCTCCGATTGTATATTTCGTATACCTGTTATCACCTGTCAGGTCAACTCCGTCCCTCATCCAAACGCCATTAGTGACACCGGGAAGATCGACAAATGTTATCAATTGTGGGCTTGTGCCAGAAAGGACAGTTACATCTCTCATGTTATTTGTAATTGCAGCTGAAACAAACATGACATGAACATGTCAACTGAATGCAGACCTCAAACAACACATGGCCCAACATGTGTGGGAATGTAAAGCAGTATGAAAAGTATAAATCGTGTGTCTGAATGACCTTTAACGTTGGCCATGATGGTTGGTTGGTTTGTTGTTTAACGCCGACATCAGCAATATTCCAACTATATGACGGCGGTCTGTAAATAATCGAGTCTCGACCAGACAATCCTGTGATTGATATCATGAGCATCGATCCACGCAACTGGGATAAGATGACATGCATCAACCAAATCAGCGAGCCCGACCACCCTATCCCGTTAGTCGCCTCTTACGACAAGCATCGTCGCCTTTTACGGTAAGCATGGGTTTCTGAAGACCTAGGTCATGATATGGAGTGGAGAGGAGTTATATCTTACATCCAGTATCAATCCATTTTAAAATATTTTTATCCTTCCGAAAATTCATAAAGCTTATTTGAAATGGAAACTTTTTCAAAACGTACATTCCACTTTTCACAAATAGGAATATATACCTCGGACAGACAGGAATCCTCTTGTCGTGACACTATTCAGATTAAAGGTATATTCTCCTTGATCAGAACTTTGAACATTATTCACAACCAGTCTTCGTCCGAAAGCCGTCTTCGTGATGGTATATTTCGAATTGAATGTATCCACACGTACACCATCTTTCAACCAGAAGCCGTCAGCTGCCTCGGTTGGGGTAACCTGCGTCTCAAAAATGACGCTCTGTCCAATGCTGCTTGTGACGTTAGATAAAGGGGCTGAAAAGAGAGCGCGGTTAATTGATAAATTGGTGTTCAGTTTGACATATTGGAATGCATCTTTGATAAAAACTATTTAGATACACTAAAAAATCTAAATAAATCTTCAAAATCAAAAAGGATGTATCATCAAATTTGTTTAAAAAAGATTCATACTATCATGTCGTTATTTTACATATCCAACTTTAAATTGGCATTCAAAGATTTTATTATTCAACTTACTGAACACAGTTAACATGGCTTGAGGACTCAGGCTGCCAACGGAATATGTATATGTTCCACCATCTGAGAGTACTACAGAGCCTAAGGCCAGTGACCTCTCTAAACCGTTGGCAGTTTTTTGGAATCTGTTATCAGTAGTCAAGTCGATTCTACTTGGTGTTAATTTTATCCAGGAGCCTCCTGTTGGTTGTCGGTTGAAGCCTACTGTGAATGATGCCGGGCTATTAACCAAGCGTGTAATGCTGACCGGGCGATTGACGACAGACACTGAAACATAATAGCTCGAAATGAAGATTTAGCACAGTTATACATAGTTGTGATGTGTTATTTACCGCTGTCATACCTTAGATCTGATAACATGTGTGATTTTTTGTGCTTGGTATTACAGTAAACTACGGTAAAAACCAACTCAAAGTAACCACTGGTTTAAGTTCTTTGGTTATGTATTTTGATTAAAATATATACAGCAAATGGCCGGGACATAGAACAGCTCGTTATATCTGTCAGTTCGTTATAAGCGTGTCCGATTTAAACGTAGTTTACTGTATTTTCATTGACAAATAATTGATAAATTCCATTCAAGTTTAAAATACTTGCCAATGTCACGGCACAAGCTTTGGACAATATCTTGGACAGTATTGAGTAAATTGCTGAAGTCTTCGATTTGAATTGCTGTTGAATTATCCGAGGCAATATCCACCAACTCCTGCTCATAACGTCTCTTGTATGGTGATGATGGGAAGTTAAGCAAAGGATTTACACCAACAGCAAACACTCTTATCCCAGAGTTCTTCG